AACTAAACGACCGATTCGATTCAGTCCAGAAGTCAGTCAGGCTTTGCGTCGATGTAATGATGTGCAGCACAAAGACGAAGCACCATCTTCGCCAATATATGCCAAACAAGCCGCATAAATGGGCCGTAAAGTTGTTTGTGCTTTGCCATACGAATGGCGTTGCCTACCGTTTCGAAATCTACAACACATCAAATATTGTTATTCGTTTATCACAAACAATTCCCGATTTCGTTCCACACATACTCTACTTTGACAACTTCTATACATCATTGCCTCTGTTGGTATATTTGCGAGCTCGTGGAATTTACAGTTTAGGCACAGTGAGAGGTAATTGGGTTTTCAGCAGTTTTTGTTGATAAAAGTGCATGATTATATTTTTATTTACAGCTAACCGCATACCAGGTTGCAAGTTACCGACCGACGGCGAGGTCCGCAAAGAGAGAAGAAGTTTTTCCACCGAATACATGACCTCAGCTCAAGGAATCGATCTGAATACGGTTTTATGGACGTATAACAAATGTGTGCGCCTGGCATCTACATATGTTGGTATTGAAGAGCGAATTCTGGTATTTTGAGAGCGAATTCTGATCTGCAAACAGCGAAGGTGTCCCGATATGATAGAAAACAAAAACACTTCATATAATAAACTGTCCGCAAATCATACGCGAATACAATGCTCACATGGGTGGATGGACAGTCTTATGGGTCGCTACCATATTCAGGCTAAAATATTATGATGTGACGTTTTTATCATTTTGTGGATATGGCGGCTACGAATGCCTATATTTTGTACAAATGTGTGCGTGCTGAGAAAGCAAATGATTCCAGCAATGTATCCGAAGAAGAACAACAATACAATCTTCCGCAATTCCGTGAGGAAATAGCTCCTGGTCTTGTTTCTTTCAAAGAAAAAACGGCCTGTAGGTAGACAATCATCTGTGCAAGGTATCGATCGCTCGGTATCTCAACAGCCTAGCCCCTCAATAACTGGAAGAAAAGCTCTTCATCAAGTTGATGATGTTCGATTCGATGGCCAAGATCATTTCCCGATTTGGATGGATAGAAAAGGGGAAAAACGGTGCAAATATTGTAAGAAATCAGACACACAAGTCACTTGTTCCAAATGTGACCTTCATTTATGTTCATGCCTCGAAGTCAAATGAAATTGATTAATTTAAAAAAAATTGCCTGAATAACTTATGTTTCCTAATAAAATTGTTCTAAAAACATGTCTACATAATTACAATTTTATTCACGCGCAAACCGGCAAGACCGTCCTGAGACGGTGTTGAGTATTTCTCACATAACAATAATTCCACACAAAATTTTTATCTGAAAACTCAATCTTAAGGATATTTTGCCTATATTTACATGCACACAAAATGTCAGCTTGATCTGAGCATTTTTACGGGTTTGCCCGTTTGAGGGTTAAGTTTTGTGACTTTCTGAAACAGATAACAGAAGATGAAGAAAAAAATAACAGCTTACTCTTTTATACTTTACTACGTCGTTTAAAGTTAATTACCTTCGTATATTTATGATTTCTAATACTTGCAATATTTTCGAAGAGAAGTATGTTTGTTAGTTAGATGAGTCTTTTCCAAAAGAATTGCAGATAATTGCTGCTAGAATAGATTACATATTAATCCTAACTAGTATAGAAATAATTACTTCTATATCACAACAAAAAGATCGAAACATAAAAAAAGATATACCGGCAGGTTCTGCATTTCACTTCCGAGTGAATTTGAGTCAAGTTTGCTTTGAATTCAAATTGGCTCAACCCCTGCCACTCGGAAGTGAATTGCAGAACCTGCCCGAATGTGTGTTGAATTAAGCAATGCACAGGAAAAAATACTAATTTCTTTAAATTAAATATTTACGTGTACGGGGCGGAAAATCAAGTAATGTAATGACATTTTCAATAATCCGCGGAGCTTCTATGGGACGGAGATATATTATTTTCTACTTTTTAGTCCATTTATAAAAGCGTGGTATAATAAAAGGCTTTTTTTTTAAATTTAATTTTTTGTTTTCTGATCCGGAACGTAAATGAAGAGTGAGGATGGTTTCCCCAACTCGAGAACACGCCACATATAGCTGACGGGGTTCGGAAATTCTCACTCACATTCTCTCACGTTCGCGATCGATAATATTCCAAGTCTAGTTTTGCATTCCTTTATCGCGAGTGAAAAATGCAAACAAATTTATCATCTCTCACATTCGGAATGCGATCGACAAAAAAATTGTCGCTGCTTTTCATTCGCGATCGAAACAAGCAAAGAAATTTCCTCTCACTCGAATATGAGAAGTCCGAGCATTGCCGATGTCGGCCTCTCATAAATAAGAAAAACGATGCAAATAATCCATTCGCAATCACTCAAAACAGCTTATCGCGATAAACTTCGCGAAAAATTTTCAACGACGTTGTATGGGAGATATTTTTCGCGTTTGTTTTGGGTATGCATTTTGTTATGCATTGTACGCTGTATGCATAACAAAATGCATACCTGCATATATGTTCATATGGATATGTAAGTAATGCAAGCAAATGCTTTTCAGTTGGAAGGAATGTGGGAATATGCACAAATATGTATATGAATTATGGTGGAAACATATATGTATGTATCTACATATACGTAAATTACGTACATGCATACGTGTAGTTAAAGTATATTCCAAGCGTACACTTTTCAGTATAATGGTGTATCTGCATGCTATTTTATTATAATGATTGCGTTTATATTTTTATATCTAATAAATGGAACTTAGTGCGGGTAAGATTGACTAATGAGAAAAGTGGGCGCCTGGTGAAGCCTGAGAGTAAAGAAAAGCAGAAAAAACAATACATATAAATTTTTTATTTATTTTAAATGTTTTGATTCTCCATTATAAGGATATTAATAAGCAGGGAACGGATTTTATGGAAATTGCCTTTTTTCTGCTAAAGAGATAGAGTATATTCGATTAAGAATGTCCACGATTTAGCTTTCCCTGATTCCATGTATACACATTTGATGTTGCCTTTTTTTGCCTTTTTTAAGATATTTGCCTTTTTTTTTCCTTTTTTAAGATATTTGCCTTTTTTTGCCTTTTCTACCTTTAAAAAAGTGATTATAGCATTTACAATTTTTTTCTTAAGATTAAAAAATATACACATGCCCATGCGGCTTATAGAAGCGCAGGGACCTCTTGCCAAATTGGTGTTGGAAAAATTCAAAGCCGTTTTCTCAGCTAACGTAGGCTTGGAGACAATAAGGGGTGTGGATAAAATTGTGAAGGGCGAGGAAACGTTCCATATTTAAATTGGGCTCCACTTGTATCAACTTACGTCGAGCGCACATTTAGTACATTCAAGGCTTTTCTTCGCGAAAATCGAATGAAAATGCTGCCAGAAAACTTCAAAATGCATTTTGTGGTTCAATGTTACTACAACTATACAGATTAAAGTTTTATGAGTTAGAAACTCGAAAGGATAAAATAGTGAAAGATTCAAAGTACAAATTTTTCATATAATGAAACTAGTTCATAGTTTTTCTCTTTTTACTTGTAATATAAACATTTCTAAAATAAATGTATTTTTTGATTGTTCTTCGTATTTTCTGTCTTTTTT